TAAGGAAACCAGGCTGAAAGCTCAGAAGTCCTGTCCTGTCCCAGCTGCTCTGCTTCTCTCGTGGTTCAGGAGTTGGTTCGGGAAGGGATCCCATGCCACGTTCATGGGCATCAAGCCAGAGGAGCACGGCAACTCGCTCGAGTTAATCACCTCAGCCACCTGCTGCCCAAAGCTGCTCATTTCCAGACTGTTTTCCCACCCCGTTCTGGCTCCATTAACTGCCCCCTTGTAGCTGATGTGAATTGTGCCAGCTGCCCAGCCGAGGTTAACATTTTAGCGAAGGCTGAAGCGCTCAGTCCCATCTGATATCAGCAACATCCCCTGGTTCCAGGCTAGGTTTTGCACAGCTTAGGAGTTTCACTGTGAGGAACCACTTAGATTTGATAGTGTGAAATGTAGATGGCAAATACAAAAGTGTTTCCCATCTTTGCAGTTCTCTGCTAGTAGTGGGTTAAATTTTTTTAATTTTTGTGCCCCCAAAATGAAGAACATTGCAAGAAAATTAAATGCCTTTGATTTAAAGCCGTAAGGCTTGATAAAACATGGGGTTTCCTCCTCTTAAGACACTTCATGAGTGCATTAGTTCCTAGCCTTAAAGGATGATCCAACCCCATTTCTAATCCCCCTTTAGGCGCCTTGCCCAAAGAAAGCACCTTAAAATATTCTGAACAATGCCCTGACAGACGAGCAGCTCGAGTTCCCAGTAAGAGCAGGGGGCCTGGAGATAAGGGGATTGTGTCTCCTTAATCTGACAGACAAGAGTAACCGGTTCAGATACGTGCACATCGTGTCAGTGTAACACGAGGGGACACGCTAGTACTAAAACAGCACTTCAGAAAGCCAGCCTGGCCTTGAATGGTAAATTAGTAGCTTTCCCGTTTTCCACGTCAGACATCTGAAATGCAATCCATCCTGAAGCATACAAACAATGCTACGAGGCTAAAAAAACCCAAAAGATCTGACATTTGACTATATTTTTGGTTCTTTTTACTTTGTCTTTAGGATGCACTCAGTTAAAATTTTTGAGTTTTTCCACCATCTCAACAGAGCGAGACTAGCCTGGTGTTTTCACATATCCCACGATGCAGGTGCTGGAGCTGTAGGGAAGAACAAAAGAGCAAAGACAGGCAAAGCGCTCAACACCACCACAAGCAGCCACCTTGATAACTCCCTGTTATCAGCCAGCTGCTGATAACATTCCTTGGGCTCGGGGGAGACAACCCATAAAACACTCGGTCCTTCTGTGAAAACTTCTCATCAGCCAATGCAAGCCTGTGGGCAAGGAGCTATTAAGCACATGCTGTTTCTCATCAAGCAATTCTGTGTCCTTTCTCAGTTCTTTTTCATTCGTGCTACATGATACAAGCCACATTTTTCCCGTGGAAGTCGGTCATCTTCAGCTGAAAGTTTAGTGGTCGGGTTCATGATGCATCGCTACGTCCTTGACCCTTCCAGACTGACCAGTGTACTACAGAAAAAGAAATGGCCTAACATTTTATGACTAAAGAGGCAACAAACTAGCCATCTTTCCCTCCGTAACTACGTTTGCTGTCAGTTTTGAGCTATGAGATCCGAAAGGTAACTCCTTGGCTACAACATCATGAGAAAACTGGCAGCCAGTAGATCGGCAGGTGTCCCTATAGAGTGAATGGTGAACACAGAGCGAACGGTCAACACGTTTCTCCCAACAGATAAGGAAGCACGATTGTAAGTGACATTGCTTCTTATGCTATGAGAAAAAAAAGCAGCTTTACTTAACTGTAAAATACAAGGAAGCGAATTCATACCTGGTACGAGTAAAATTGTGTAGGACTTGATGGCCTCATTTCAGATCAAATCAGGTCCACTTTGTCTTCGGCTTTTCAGGAAGTGGACTTAGTCTTCTCTAAATATTTAAAAAAGCTTTGTTTGTTCTAACCCAGGAGAGCTCAGCAGAGTGTCTCTGCTGCAACAGTGCCCGAAAACGTGTGCTAATTTTCTTTATTTTACAGCTGCTAATAGGGCTGCACATTGTTTGGACTTGGTACTTTGGCTTTCGCAGCGTTGATTTCATTATGGTAATTTCGGTTATCTGTACACAAAGGCTGCAGCAGTTTGTTTGAAAGCGCTTGGAAACTACAAGGCTGATCCTATTGCCACAGGAAAAGGCACACCTTTCGGTCAGAGTTTAAGTGCAAAGGACATTTGCCAGCTGTATGAATTAATTCAAGTCTATAACATTCATTCACCTCCTGTTAAGTGTGGCAATACCAGCACCAAAACAGTGGTTTGACTTCTGTGTTTCCCACTGCTCTGAATTCCCTGAAGCTGCCCGTGCTTCTCTTGCCCAGAGCTGGTTCTGCTTGTGAAGTTTGAACAGAAACTTTTTTTTAAAAATTCACTCAGATGAAAAGAAACCTTTTAACCACCTTCACTACAGTATTTCAAACTTGAGCATGAGTAATGTTCCAGAAAAGATTATTTGCAGAGGCTAATTTTCAAAGACAGGAAGACCTATTACTAGGGTCCTGTTACACGAAAGACCAATTACTATCAGTGACTGGTAATGATGATAACTTTAGTCACCTACATTTGCTGTTCACATTCACTCAAGTTCTTAATTCCAGTTTTGTTTTGTAGATTCCTCAGTATTTGTTTGGCTTCTTAAAAATATCTGCACTTGTTTTGAATAGCAAAAGTAATAAGATCCTGAATTGCATTTAAGTAAATGAGAAGACAGATTTGGGGATTTTTATTTTTTGAAGCTGTTTAGCTGGTTGCAGGTAACAGCAGGACCTAAAAAGCCTGCAAATAAATTTTTGTCCTCTACAAATCAGCAATGTAGGGCCCGGGCCTTAAATGCCACTCATGTGAAATATAAACCCTCTAAATGTGCCCTGTACTGTAGGTTCACACCATTTAGATTTACAATTCGTTCCTTCCCAGCATTTGTTTGCCATCACCCTTGCAGTCATATTTAACTGGCAGGGGATTTCACTTTGATGAGATATTGGACATCCTGATGAGGCACCTAATAAATAACACAAAGCACATCTTATTTGTAAAGCATACATTAAAAAAAAAAAAAAAAAAAAGGACCATAACACTGATTTAAGCCTGTATTTCTGGTTCTACAGCCAGTGTTTAATCCCAAGCCAAACTGCTGGGCCTCTGAATAAAAGGTTATTTCATCCCAGTTCGTTTGTCTACAGCTCAATCACTTTCATCTCAGGAAGGAGAGAGTACAGCATCCCATGTTTGCATTACAAATGCCGTGCCTAAACACAGGCGCACAGCCCTTGCCAGGGCGGCCTAGATACACAAAGGCGAGCCCAAACTCCGTTTCTCTTTTTTCTCCCGTGGGCTCCTCCAGCATCCCGTCGCCCTGGCTCCCTTCCCGGTGCTCCGGCTGCCTCCCTGGGAGAGCAGAGCCCGGCGGGGGCGCAAGGATGACGTGGGGCAGCGTGGGGGCCCTTCCCCTTATCTCGGGCTGGCAGCCCGCTTGGTGCCAAGGCCACTGCTCTCCCCGCCTGCACGACCCGCAAGGAAGGGATGGGATTCGCAGCTTCATAAACTCCTCCCTGGCCTCACATGTTGTTTTTTTCCCCAATTCTCTATTTTTAAAAATGAGCAGAGAAGCAAAAAATAAAGAGGAGATTGTTTGCTGTTATTTTTTTCCTGCTGGGGTGCCTACTGATAAACCCTCCATACTGCATCAAGTAACAACCACTCTTCTCCATGAGTAGTGGAGAAGAATTCATGCAGAAATGCCAAAGCAAAACCAGCAGGCACGGCTGAATGTACCAACGGATCGAGGAAACTTCTGCTCCCCATTTGAAGCAGGGCTATCCCACATCCTCGGTGGAAGCAGATGCTTTAAGAAACATCTAAAGAAAATGACAAGGCAGAGCAAAATTCTCTTTGCAAGTCTGAAACATGTTCCTGAATTGGAATATGCAGTCAAAAACATGCTTTCAAATGCATAAAATTTTCTTAGGGGGTTATTTTTTTGCAGTATATATATTGGGTCATCAGAACTAAATATCAGTGTAAAAACAGTGTGTTTTTGTTAGATGAACACACAGAAGGAACTAGAGACAGTTGCCTCCTAAAAGAAACAGTTCCTGGAAGTCTGTGATTTTAAGGAAAGAAAAATGCCAAAAAAAAAAAAACCTTCCAGCAGCGAGATTTTTTTTTCATCTCTCAGCAACCATTTGACATGTCCAGAGTTTCCCTCAGCCTGTTCTACAAAAAACAAAAGGGATGTTTCTTCCAAACTAATGCATTGAGCAGCTCAGCAAGAAAACACCACCCTGAGAGTTGCTGAGCTACCTCCCGAGATTTATTAACTGCCCTCAGTTTCCAGAGATGTAGATCTGGAAATTCAGCCACCAGCTCGTTTATCAGTCATTCCTGTGTGTTACCTCTGCTAGGAGAAAGAAAAGGCAGCGTGTCAGGGAACCACTTATAAGCAGCCCTAATTCACACTCCGGAGCAGAAGTGTTGCCTGAAACAGCAGCATGGGAAAATTGCCGACCTTTTCCAGCTTGCTTTATCCCCAGAAGAGGGGAAAAAAAGGTCAAGAGAGGTAGCAGGGCACAGTGCCTGCATGTCTCACGTCTGGACTAGCCAAGCAGTCTCCTCCAGTAACAGGAACTCCCCCTTGTCCTGGTCTGCAGCCAGTTTCTGGCTTCTTTTCTTGCCTGCTCAGTGCCAAGGAGCCAGACGCGAGTGCGAAATGCAGAACCTTGCCTTGTCCTGCAGTGCTTGGAATGATCCAGATTTCCATCTAAACAGGCTCCTGCAGCAGGCTAGAAGCACACACCAACACGCGCCCAAAGGCACTTCGAACCAGTTCAGTGCAGAGGGTTTCCCTCCGCTCTTTTGTGTCCCCTTCAAAGGCTAATGATAGGGGTATAAATTTCACACAGGAGGTTTGGCAGCTTAATGGGTAGTTTCAGAGCTGAGTTAAACAGATGTTAAAGCACCGTTGTGAGAGAGGTGATCCCCTTCGCGTCAGCATGAGGTACGTATGGCTGTAGAGGCGGGAAAACCTAAAGGGTTAGGTTTGCTCTTGCAGCCACTCAAACTCCCAAACTTCCAGCTGAAAAAGCAGGGAATTAAGGTGTAACTACACGTTATTTTGCAAGCTCAGTACAACGCTATGCCGTTCAAACTCTCAGTTCTGCCTGTGCTCCCATTTGCAGCCGTTTCCTCCACCCATCCTAAAACTCACAGACATTTTCATTTCCGCTTCTCATGGAGAACTGGCAAAGAAGCCCATGGGACATTAAAACATTGGCACAATCTGCAGAATGAAACTCCAACAGTGGAGCTGGTTTGTTTTCTTTTATGCTCCTTGCTCAGCTTGTGTAAAAGCAATCACCTATTAACCAAGGCTATAGATTCCGACTGCTTCAGCTGCATGGTGATATGAATAAATTTGTGTTGTATGAATTCTTGCAAAAAATCTACATAGATCCAAGCTGCTTAATTCTTCATTGCTTCTGCTCCCAAACTATAGGCCAGCTTGTGCCCACAGGCACCCATTCCCAGGGACGTCTAGCTCAAAGTAAAGCTCACAGTTAGAAAACATCCTTTTTTCCTACAATTGCTTGTATTTGGCAACTTTAATATTACAGCTTGTCAGTAAAATCTGCCAATAGTATTATACCCTAGATATGAAAGTGCAATCATTTATTTCCAATACATATTTTTTGGCTTAGCAAATGCGTAGTACATGACTGGTGCAACTTGACTTCTGTTCCCATGCAATGAAAAGCAAATGTACAGTAAGATTTCACAACCTATCCCAAAACTTCTCAAAATAAAAGAGAAAACTTACTGCGTATAGGAGTGATCTAAGGTTCCTTCTGCTAAAAACAGTCCCCTGCATTTTGTTAGCTAAGGCAACAGCCCGGCACGAGGGGCTCAGCACTGCACAGTCTGAGTTTCAGAAAGAAAGTGGTCAATTATAGGAGTGTAACAGACCACATGACAGTCATATGAATATCCTTACATGATATTAACCCAGCCTCTACGTGTTTATTACATGCCAGAGGTCATATCTTACCAAGTTACTAGTGTGCTTAGTACTCAGCTTAAGAGTTACAGAAATACACTTAATTGTCTCAAGCGCTTTGCAGGGTTGTGGAAAATTTGTTGTGAGTGGGTTTTGCTATTTGAGCTGGATATTCTTTCCTCAGAAGACCTGTCTGCACGCAGCTTGCTTCACACTGAGGGTCTTCATAAGAAAAGCAATTAAAATGAGACAAAGTGCTCCCACAGGTAGCAAAGGAAGCAAACCTTTTGTAAGTGTCTGGGAAGGTGAGCACAAAGCTCACTTTATGGCGAGGCTCATTCAGTCTCTTTGGCCCGTCTGCCCACATAGAGTTTCTGTGGAGCAGCTGGTGAGGAGCATCCTCACTGCTGGAGCAGGAGCATCACAGAGCACTCGGCACTGCCCTTGCTGGAGTTATTGGCAATACCTTGAACACAAACACACAATCTCTGCGGCTGCACATGCATTGAGGTGGGACGATAAGTAGTGCTAATGCAATTAGACTGTGTTCCACAGTTCAAACATAAACTGAAGCCCTTGCAGCCTGCCAGCACCAGAGTTTTCACATTGCTCAAGTCAAAAAGTGAACTGTGAGTAAAAACAGTTTAAAAGAACTTCAAGAGTATTTATACATCTTTTTTACCACTAGATTACCACAGAAGAAATGAAGCAACTACAAGTTCTCATAAATAAGAAAACTATTCTACTCACTGCTCCCACCATCAAGCAGGTGTCTCTCTCCAGCAAGCAAGCACAGGGTGTTTCCAACAGAGAAAGAGCCGTCCATGGCAAGCACAGCAGCCTGAGGTGACTACGAAATAGATAGGAAGCACTGCAAAAGAAACGGGGATGTTGCACCAGCAGACAAAACATCTTCTGACTGCAAAGCCAGGTCTGAGAAATTTGTGTCAGCACTGGCAGAAATCATTTCAAAATCATCATTAGACTTTGCGTGAGAATTCGTACATAGCAACTCAGGCAGCTGCTACAGAAGGAGATGCATCTATAAAAGGGAAGGTAGGTGGAAACTAAAAGCAGATGCACTGCAGCTTATCTTCACATCAGGTGCATTTCCTGTGCTGTCTGGTTGCCTTTTAAAAGCTCCTCTTTCCCATGCTTAGGCTTGGTAAGGATCTGGAAAAGTTGCACCAGAGTATCTGGGGGCACATTCTTCATTACAATGCACCTGAGCTACAACTTACATGTCTTGTGCGGCTCACAAGGACATTGGGCTTCCAGGATCCCTCCGTGATAAAGTATCCCTTGGGAGGGGGATGAACATCCATCCGTGAAAGGGAAAGGGCCACAAGGCTGCAGGACAAGGATGACAAAGCGGGGATGGTTGCTCTGCCCAAAGGATCCTCTGGCCTGCTGGCCTGGCTGTTTGCCTGGGGAGTGACAGCAGCAGCATATAGGAATTATCCTGATGTGTCACCAGCGAGTTGATATGTATATGTATATAAGTGCAGACTTACGTCCCACATCATGCAGGTAGCTCAACAAACCTGAGGTTCACCTTGCACGACATGTTCATGCCCTGCAAGCACAATGCACTGCCGCATGGCAGCAGGGAAGCTCCAGCGGCTGTTTCTGGTGTGAGGGACAAGGGGAACTTGGGGAACTTCCAGAAAAGCGCTTAGTTGTTCTCAAGGAACGCAAAATACTTCATTGGACTCAAGCTGACACTTGCTCTTGACATTTCAGACTGAAACCCTTAAGAAACTGCATAACTTTTGCTTGGAAGCTCCGCAGGCTGACTCGTCATTCCCAGTACAGCTAAACTTGCAGCAAGGCTTGACTGGAAAGAACAAGTTGTACTCTTCTAGATGCATGAAAATGAAGGTTTTTCTGAAAGCTTTTGCTCTATGATTTACTGAACAGAGTGTTGGATATACACCCAAAACATCCCATCTGCCATTTGTGGCCCAAGCAACTCAAAAGCTATGTGTGTAGGTGTATCCCTTATTAATTCTGTCTTCTTGCCTCCTGAACTCTTCAACTTCCTGAGCTTCTCAGCATGACTTCAGTCTCACTTTAATTAAGCCATGGCTAACGTGTAATCCTTCAGCTTCACAAAGGCACCCGATCCAAGACTCATGCCTTCCAAGGGAGTGGCCATAAGCTCCTTTCCAAGTCAGTGGGGAGTCATCAGCTAAAATAAACCAGACTTTGTGTTCCTGGGGAAAACCACGTCTCTCCTTTGAACTCAGGCAACTAGCTTCAGACTGACATTTACAAAGGAGGTGTCTCACATGAGAGCTGTGAATCCAGAGAGATTCCTCTTTTACTGGCATCCCACATGCTTCTCAGGCAACTGGATATGCAGGGAGCGTTTGTGGAAGGAGAAGATTATATGGGAGAGATCCATGCCTGTGGCACCCTGCCTGTGAGAGCTTTGGTCCAGAAGTGGTGACGCTTGCTGGGCATCCCAGCAGAAGCGCTCTGAACTAACCTCATCCATGCTTGCACAAAGGCTAACACCCATAGGCAGCGGTATGGAGGACAGTGGCGAGATTTAAACAAAAATAACAGTTCTCCACAGAAGTAAAAGAAGGGCTTGGCATATTTCCAATTCCATCCCCGTGTGGGGCTTCACAAGAAGTGGATAAGTCAGTCCAGATCAGTATCAAATAAAGATGATTTAATGTGAGTGCTTCACACCCCCCAGCATTGCAGGCATTTTTTCCCTCTGCTTAGGGCCATAGCAATGCCCAGCCTCACAGCATTTCAGCATTTTCCCACCAGCGCTTTTTCTGACAGGGAAGACACAAGACGACCTTCAGAAGCAGCCTCCAGACCTCAAAATGCACTGAAGGCCATGACATGGAAGAAATCAGTGTGACCTCTGAGAAGCTGAAAAGATTATTGTTTCTGGAGAGGTTCTCTTCAAAGACAGTAAGCTCGAAGGCCTTCATAGCTTGGCAAGAGGCTGGGGACAGCAAGGCCTCATCTATCTAGCAAAAATTCACTGCATGAAGCATTTATTTTTCGAAGGCGTGGGAGGGGTAGGGCTAGACAAGACTGAAAGCTTTTGCTATAAATTATCATGCCTTTTCGTTTAAATTCCCTTATAATAAGCACCCTTTTTGGCGATCCCGCAAGGAAGCGCCTAACCTGGGTGTGCCTTCTCCAGCATTTTTCATTTAGACTGTTTGCCCGCGGGATACAAACTGTGCCCATTAAAGCAAGCAGCTGTATCTGCATGCCATGCCTTTGACTTTCTCTTATGGAGAGCTGAAGCCCATGACAGCAGTGCTCCCCTCCCCTCTCACCTGATCCCTGCCCTTCTGCCCAAACAAGTTTCCTCAGTGTTGGCAAAACGGAGGAGGGAGGACAAGGGACAGAAAGGCACTGCGATGTCCCCCACGAGCAGCTGGTCCCTTCAGGGGATCCTTTCAGGGAAGAAGGAGTGGAAAAGGTGAGTTTTCAGGATCATATTTTCAGTGCGGACTCCCCGAGACCTCCCGGGCGCCAGCACCACACGCGTGGGCAGGGGGGTGTTGTTTAGGAGCTGGAGGCCGACGCGCGGCTCCGAGACAGGAGACGCAGGAACAGCCCGTTACGCCCAACGGACA